AGCCAACTTTTCCAAGAACATCTAATGTAAACCTAAAAGAAAATTGATTTTATAATAGTGCTTTAAAGAAAAAAATAATGAGATATTCAAGAATAATTTCTTACCTTTGCATAAGATTATTAATTTCAATAGGCTTTTGATCAATTTGTTCCAAAATATCCATCATCTTTAATGCTATTTCTGCAAAAAGATGTAATGGTAAAGCTTTGAATGCAGGATTGCACACACGTCTAAGTAAAATTTACACAATTAACACAATTAACAAATTGAAATCTTTAAGGTTGAATTTGACAATTGACTAAAGTCGAGATTTGTAATAACCATTGCATAATTTATAGCAATAAATATCTAATACTGCATATATTATTACAAATCCTATCATAAAATAATTGATATTTAATAAGGATTCACAATAAAATCCCGACATATTGGTAATTTTGAAATTATATAAATAAAATTCTTTATTATAATATTGGAAGATGGTCTAATTCTAGCCAAAATATCAGTTTTGACCAATTCTCAGCTTTAGTAACAACAAAAAAAATGTAAGAATACCTATGTCTTTTCCAAACCTAAAAAATTGTTATGATTAGATTTATTAGAGAAAAATAAAATAACTTATTCAGTACTTACGTCACCAGATGAGAAACCAACATTGACCCCAAAATATTCTGTAACTATAGAATTTGGAACAATCTCATTCAGGTCTACTTTAGGGTAAACATCTGTCAAGAAGCTTTGGGTTAAATTTTTGTAAATGCTGTATAACGTGTCAGCAGGCAGACAAATAATTATTAAAAACGTACCCGGTCGCAAAAAAACGTCCTTTGCAATCACTGGATCAGTTATGAGACACATCCAGCTTCCTCTAAACCAGCGCTATATAAATGACATAATTTAGTTAATATTATAAAGTTTATAATTACTGATAAATTTACCTTTACAATTCCATCGTTATCAAAATATTTTTTATGATTTGAATATAACCTATTATCTCCTATTTGTTTATTAATAATTGCTAAAAATATACTAAAGAGTGTAATTGTGTGAATATTTTTAAAGGGATCTAGGGTCTTCGAGTTCATCTTACTATATGCTATGAGCAAGATAACAACAATCGTTAGGGAGGTCCAAAAAATCATGATTATTGGCTTATTAGTTTTAACGAATAGATATATTTTGAATTATCCGCAAACTATAGTATATAACGGTATGCACCTAAATTTCATATGTAAAATTTAGGTAAAAATTGCTTTCTAGGCTTATTTAATAATAAAGAAGGTGTTAGCCTAATTTCTGGGTATTATTTCGAAATTCTCTAGCATTCGAAGGTTCGCATTACGAACTTTTAAGGGTATTTAAAAATAAATTTGAAAAGAATCATGGTCACGAAGTTGGCCAATTTTTATTAGTAATGCAGTTACAGTATGAGAATCAATCAAGAATGTAGATCATGTCATAGATTGTCATGAGTAAGGATGGCTCCGAAAGTATTTTGACGTTTCGAAAATCTTACCGAAAGTACCGAAAGTTGAAGGTCTTACTGAAAGTCTTAACGAAAGTCGAAACTCTTATTGAAAATAAGAATTCTTACCGAAAGTCTTGCCGAAAATCTTAACGAAAGTCGAAACTCTTATTGAAAATAAGAATTCTTCTTGCCGAAAATCTTACCGTAAAGTCAAAATTCTATTTTCACCCGGGTAAAAGTTAT